CTGGTTCTCTCCATAATTGTCAGATAATAAAAGTATTTGACAAGATACACAACCCACTGCAACTCAGATAGACCTATTGTAGGAGATGACCAGGCTGAGCCTAAGGGAGGAGTCAAGCATGCCATCAGTCTCGAATCCTTTCATGCTCACAAGAGATCTAAGTCTAACCCACCTTGAATCCCAACGTCTCTTATCTATCACCAATTTGTTTTGACCTTTAATTCAGATTTTTGTAGAGAGTCTTAAACCTGCATTCATTTGAACCACCTTCCATCCTGAGTTCTTGCACTTAGCCATCACTGTAGCTAACATGGAGGAAACGGGTTTTATTTCCAATGAGTTTACTACAAAACTCTGCAGGATGGAAAAGTCTCTTCTGGCTTTACTGCACACATTGCCCAAAATTAGGAGGGAGCCTACTTTCCTGCTATTCCTCTGCTAATACTAGTCTGGTACACAATAACCGCAAATTGACAGAGTGGGCTGTATTTTCTGTATGATCTCATCTCTCTATTATAGCTGGGTATTCTGCGAGTTGCTTCCCAAGAAAATTTATAGGTTGGTATGGTGGAAAAAGCACAACTAGCTAATTCAGATTTCTAAATTTGAATCTGACTATCCTGAATATAGGTCAGTATGCTGCATGTATTTTCTATGGTAGCTGACAGTGGCCAGAAGAGATGAAATCAGAAATGAAATTGTTAAGACAAAGAATTGGCATAGAGTCAATCTTAAACAAAAACAGCAAATAAAGTGATTTGCTCACCTGAAAAGAATGTCTTGGGATTCCATACCATATAAAGCATATAGAAAAAAGAGAAGAAGGCCAAAAAATATGAGGCAGACTCAGAAGAAGATGGAGACAACATCAAANGAAGAGATGAAATCAGAAATGAAATTGTTAAGACAAAGAATTGGCATAGAGTCAATCTTAAACAAAAACAGCAAATAAAGTGATTTGCTCACCTGAAAAGAATGTCTTGGGATTCCATACCATATAAAGCATATAGAAAAAAGAGAAGAAGGCCAAAAAATATGAGGCAGACTCAGAAGAAGATGGAGACAACATCAAAGGCACATTACAACAGCATGAAATATGAATGGTTGAGGCCGCCAGAAGAGTTAAGAACCAGAACTTTGTATTTCTCTTGACACTTGAAGCGGTAAAAGAGGAAGCAAAGAAGAAAGAAGAAGAAAAATGTAGCCACAGGATAAAAAATCTTGGTTAGCATAGAATAACAGGGACAGGAATAACCAGTTTTGACCTATTTTGGTCAATATGTCACAAATACAACTAGTTTCCAGTTTTACTCTATGCATGCTCATGCTATACCACGCAACACTAATGAAAAGTTTTCAGTATGGTCCAGACTGTTTCTTGTTAATGTCAATAATAGAACTTGGGGAAAATGATGGTGGAAGAAGAGGAAAGAAGGGAAAGGAAAGACTGAAGGTAGAACAACTGTAGGAAGAAAAAAACTCAAATCATGTAAGAAAAATATATATTACAAGATAGATCAATCTCCCAACAGAATGAATGGAGAGTTAGATACAAGGAAAGAGAATATAGAACAGAATGGAACAGAATGGAAAGAAGGATGTGACAGAGTGCCACAGAATTCAGCGGAGAACCACAAGGGCCACACCACTTTCAACAAAGTCAAAATGACACTTGAGTGGTGATGTCATCAGGCAAATACTACCCCTATGTGCAGATCGTCCTTGACTTACAGCCATTTATTTAACGACCATTCGAAGTTACAAGGTATTGATTTAACAGCTAACCAATTTATGTAATGTAAAATATAAGCAGGGTCTGTGTCTCTTTAAGAGCCTTTGTATAAAGGGAAGTCTCTGCTGATGTGTTCTTTCTTTTCCATTTCCTGCTGTAACTGTGGTTTGTTGGACCATTCGACAATGAATGGCAATGAAAAGAAGTATTTTGATCAGTCCTTGTACTTAGATTATTGCAGTATCCCCGTGGTCATGTGATCAACATTCACCAGTATTTATTTACAATGGTTGCAGTATCTAGGGTTATGTGATCACTATTTGCAATTCTCACAGTCGGCTTCTGACAAGCAAAGTCAGTGTGGAAGCTGGATTCTCTTAACACCTATGTGATTTAACTTAACAATTGAAGTGATTCACTTAACAACCATGGGAAAAAAGG